GATTGAGAGGGAAAGGTGACAGAAGGGCGTGGCACCTGGCAGCTTCGTTTCTTTGGTACTACTTTTATTAGTGCTAATAACACTGAAATATTGCATATGGATTTCGTGGTCTAGTTTATATAATTTATTATAAGATACATCTTTTAATTTTAATATTAGCGTTTGAATTTTTTTAAAAAAATGTAATTTATTAAAAAAATAAAATAAAAATAACACTGAAATATTATTGACATACGGTTAGTTTGAATAAAACTATTAAAATTTTGAACTTAAATTTTGTAAATAAAAAAATATAAATTAAATTTTTTTATAAAATTTGATTTAGTTTAATTCAGATTAATTAAATATTTATTGTGACTTTTAGATAATAATAGTTTAATAAAAAATAATATTAAGGTGTCACACTTACTATTTTGTTATGTCTATTACATTTTATTGGAATTGATTATTAAAAATAATTAATAATAAATAAAAATTAATATTATTACGTAACTTATTTGATTTAATATACAAATTGAGATTTTAAGATGTTATAATTAATTATTTAAAAAATATAAATAAATAAAATATTAATCAAACTCAATATTTTTTGTGAAACCCATTATTGTACAATATTTATTATTTTTTCTTGCAGTCAACACTTCAAAATTTTTCTACTTTTGATAAACACCTTCTATAATTTAAAACTTATAAAAAAACTCAAAAATTAATAGTCAAATCTCATATTTGTCCTCTAACTTTATTGGTGATTAAAGGTTTTTTATGAGTTTTAAATTATAAAAAGTATTGATTACAAATAAAATAATATGTATAATGCAAATAGAGAGTTTGATCAATATTTTTTCAGATGATTTTAACAAAATAACGAGTGGTTATAACCTCAACTCTAATATGGGGGTTGTGTAATAGCCACACATAACTTTGTTAAGCCACACACTTTTGAATGCTACTTTATTACTGTAGTTTATAATTTTTTCTTAAATAATTGGTAATAATATTTATAAATTAATTTCAATTGATTAAATAATAAATATTAATTATTTTATAAACTATCAATTATTTTTAAAAGCTAAATTAGGATAAAAATTTGACTCTTTATGTGATTATAACAAATTTAAGTGTAGTTATAATTATTGTCTAATTGTGTTTTTGCAAACACACAAGTTTGTTTTTAGGACCTAAATTTAATTTTTTTATTTTAAATAATTGATTATAATGTTTGAAAATATTAGTTTATAAATTAATTTTAATATATTGATTTTTTTAATTTATGTTTTATGGGTATAAGTTTTTTTTTTTTTTGGTAAAATTATGGGTATAAGTTAAATATACACATTTGTAAGATTTTTACTACTTTTAAGTCCTTTAATCAACTTGAAGGTCAACATACATGTAAAAAAGTAAGAATTAAGTGAAGGAAAAGAATATATGGAGTGAGGTCACATGTGTTGATTTGTTAATAATAAAGGTTGATTTATATCTTTTATAGAGTTTAAAGATTAATTTGTATCATTTAAAGGGTTTAATGACTGCTTTTAGTCTCACTTGTTAGTTTGGGATGAATTTTGGGGCTTAAGAGTTGGGTTTTGCCTTATCGCAACACACAAATTTTCCCTCATTTTGCAAGAAAATTTCCAATCCGAGCAGTTTCTCATTGGATGCTGATAATTTGCTGGTTCACGGAGTTGCTACTTTAAAGTCTTTAACATACGCTCTCAGTAGAAAATTCAATACATATTCCCAATACGGCACTGATATTATCACATGAATTACATCAGTGAAAGTGTGATTTTATATGATTATTGAATTGCAATTGCCACTTGCCATTGGACAAGTTATCATCTATGTCGCTCCATTTTCGGGAATTCAGATTTGATGTCAAAATCAAACACCAGTCAAATAAGCCGGCCTGGTTGCATTCCAGATTCTCCATTGCACGTAGACTGCAATGTGAAATAA